TTATGCAATCTCTCTGTCTACATTATAAAAACAGCTAAAACAAACGAAAAATATTATAACAGTGAAATTTCTAGTAATTCCACAATTGCAATAGTCTATTTCTCTATTAAAACAACAGCGGTTGAGTAAGTGCATTTATTCAGCGATCACAATTGCAAACAATAGTGAGATCTCATGACAGCACACAGACCGGCTGAGTGATGCTTTCATTTAGATCGCTAAACTCCAGCTTGTTTGTTTTTCAGATCATCTGCGGTGGCGCTTCCGCAATTAGGAGCAAGCGCGTGTCGCCAGATTGCTTAAAGGGGTCATATGATGCTTTTTTAAAGATCATTATTTTGTGTATTTGGTGTAACAGAATATGTTTAAAATAAGCACAACGCACCGGGCAGAAAATGTATGAATTTAACAGCGAAGCTCTGATTCGGGGATTAGATGTCTTGATATCTGGCAACCGCACTCATGAGAGCTCGCGTAGTAGCTTGTACAGCAGTCCGCAATAACATTTTATCTCATTTTTATGACGAAAATAAAAAGAGATTTTTGGTTTTTATCTTTTTGAATACATTTTAGTCTCGTCTTATTTCGTCAACGAAATTGCATGTTGATATAGTCTTAGTTATCGTTTATTGACCTTATTGTCGTCTCGTCTTAGTCATGGTAGAAAAGCTCCATTTTTCGTCATAGTCTTCGTTAACGAAATTAACACTACGCGAGGTCGTGTTTTTTTTTTTACGTGCGAAAATTTCAGACTCGGTGTGCAAGGACCTTAACACTCTAAAAATGAAAAGTTATTTATTGGCATTGATGGTTCCGTCCATGTAGCCTTTCCACTGCACAAAACGTTCTTCATAATGGAAAAAGGTTCTTTAGATTATTAAAATGTTCTTCTCACTAACATAAAAAAATGGTTCTTTCAAGAACTTTTCTCAGAAAGGTTATTTTATGGTTCTTCCATTTCCACTGTACTAAAGGTTCTTTGTAATGGAAGAAGTTTAGAGTTTTAAAAAATGTACTTGACACTAAGAGAAAGTGGTTCTTTTAAGAACTGTTCACTGAAAGGTTCTTTGGGGAACTAAAAATGGTTCTTCAATGGCGTCGCTGCGAAAACTCCCTTTTGGAACCATTATTTAAAAAAGATTTTACCATGTAGATACCATAGGATATGAATATGGTAATCCATTACTATCATGGTATTGCCATCTGATACCATGATAGCACCACAGTCCTCTTTTTACATGTCCATTGCTGTTTTCATGACTTTTTCCGGTAACACTTTATTTCGATAGTCCACTTTAGACATTCTATTAACAGTAAGTAACTTTGCAACTACATGTCAACTAGCAGTTAGTAGAGTATTAGTAGAAATAAAGTGTAACCCTTTTTCCCACTTTCTGGCTTCTCTCCTCTGCACTTATTGAATGTCAGAGAAGTCTCACATTAAACTTGTCATCACCTTTCTGCACTACTTTCTGTAGTCTCAGGAGAAGCAGGTGCTGATGCAGTTGGCGGAGAAACGGGAACGTGAGAAGGAGGTGCTCAACAAGGCCCAGGAGGTCAACAACAACTACAGCAAGATGACCGAGGAGAAGCTCAACCACAAGATGGAGCTGATCCAAGAAAATCGCATGGCCCGTCTCAGTGCTCTCAAGCAGCGTCTGAGAGAGAAGGTGAGTCTGTCTGGTTTGTCTTTCATGAACTTGACATGAAATACAAGTTCCTGGTTCTATTGAGAATGATTCTTCAGTGTATTATTCCATAGGATGCTCGGTCATCCTCAGCCACCAATGTCCCGTTCAAAAAGCCTCCTTAAAATTGTTGTGAAGCAGTTTACCAAAATCAATGGCAAACTGAATCCATTTTACATTATGCATTTGTCTGACACCTTTATGAAAAACAACTTACAATGCATCCAATGCTATCAGTTCATGCATTACCTGGGAATTGAACCAATGACTTTGGCTTTTGTGAGCGACTATTTGCGCAATGGAAAAACGGAAATGGAAATATTTATTGCATGTTGTTTTTCTGAAGTAACAGGGTTACAGCTGTACTTTACTGTCAGTAAAAAAAGAGAACTAGTTATTTTTCCTTCCTGGTTGCTACAAAACAGTTCTTATTTATTGGATGTTTAATATGCTGTTTCTCTTTTCTTTGTCAGGAGCGTCACGCTGCAGAAGTCCGTAAGAATAAGGAACTTCACACTGAGCTCTCTGGATAAGGACACTCTTTGACGCCAGAGCTGTGAGATGTCCATTTGGAGAATATCTCATTTTCTGGCCAGTCTTAAGAGGTCATATCAGACTCACCTTATCAGTTTACCTTATCAATAAATGTCTGAGCATATAACAGTATCCCACATACAATTACATGGACAAAAGT